GTCCGAAATGGTTGGGTTGGAGGTTTGTGGATCATAGGAACTAACTAGAGCTAAAGGACCTCCAGTGAGTTCACGTAGAGTTTGAGCAACATTTGACTCATGACCTTGAAGCTCATCACAAAGTTGATAGAGTTTGAGCTTTTTCAGAGACCCATTGCTTTGAAGACATGATTTCACATTTCCCCATCCCTTTCCGAGACTGTTAATGAACTTGAGATTGTACTCAAGTGAAGTTTGGACTATCCCATGAGCTGTCATGTTGTTGACAACAATCCAATATCTATTTGAGGCTGAGGCAACAGATTCACCAGGTGTTGTAATGAAAGTGTCGAACTCATTGACAACCGAAGTCAGTCGCTTATCCTTCATGTTCTCTGACCCTTCGAACAAATCTTGAAGTGTGTCGCAAATCTCTTTTGCGGACTTGCATAGTTTGATGTGCTCAAAGAGAGAAGGTGGAACACCAAACACCATTTCCGAAAAGGCAACTTGATCAGCATGCAACTTTTCAAGATCATCAGCAGTGAGAGGTGCTTGTCGTTGTTGATCATGTCCTAAGAGAGTTGCAGCAGTATCTTTAACAACGGTTCGAACTGGAACATGAGGACCTTCTTTAACGGATCTCTAGATAGATTCACCTTTTTCTTTTCCAAGTAAAGATCTTTCCATTCTGACTTTCCAATGATCATATTCTTCAACAACTAGCAGTGGGGAACGAGTAGGGAAACCTACCTTATTTGCTATTTGCATTGAATACATTTGTTGAGGATTAGAAGCAGCCATTGAAGTTAAGATATCTTCAAGCTAAAGTGGTATATAGAAGAACTTTTATCCTGAACACAGAAATGGTTGAAATACCAAGGTAATTTCAAACCAACTATAATCTGATCTTATGGATTCAAAGGACAACCACTCAAGCTCTGATACCAATTGTGAAAACAAGAGATCTGATGCGGAGGGACAAGGTTTGAAAACTCAAACTTTGAGTTAATGCTTAAGATCAATGTCTGCTTACTAAGGAATGTTCCAGTCAAGTCTGGCAAGACCAGTCGAGTCTGAGTTAATGCATTCAACAAAGTGTTCAAGATATTAATGAAGAATGAAGATAATGATCAAGGTAAAGACAATAAATGAAGAGCAAGAAGAATGTTTGAGAGAATAGCTTGGAAGGTGAAGTAAAGTAGAATATTGCTATATTTGTTTGAACAATCCGTCAATTGATATTGTCATTGAATGTTCCTTATATAAGAGAATAAGGTACATAGTACAAACCATAAACATACATATGACTGGATAATAGAGTTACTCCTGACACTCTGATTATCTAAGTTGACAAAAAGACTAAGTCCTATGATACGTTACATCAAATAAAATGACAAAGTTAATTAATATAGACTAAGGAGTACATTCGGACAGCACCAATTCTAAACATCAACTCCGGAACATAGACTTTGTTCCTGACACCAATTTGACTGCGGAACACTGATTGACTGAACATAGACTTTGTTCCGGACACCAATTTGACTGCGGAACACTGATTGACTCCGGAACACCTTATGACTTCAGAACACCATCTTACTCCGGAACTGGCTTACATCGGAACATACAAGGACAGAGATTGCTAGAGGTTCACTTTCAGGTACCAACACATCTTCCATGGCTCATAACCAATTAGGGCCAGACATGGCGGCAGAGATAGACTTGGAAATTTAAGAGAAGGTTGAGTATGGGTGGTAGATGTGGTAGGTGTAGAGTAGGGAAAAATGTGAAAGGGTGGGTCGTCAAGAAAATCAAAGGATGTGGAGGGGGAGGAGTACTGGCAAAGGGAAAGATCATTCATCAAATGTAATGTAACGAGAAAAATAAACTTTGACAGCCAATTGATCAAAACATCTTAATGGTTCGGTTAAATTGAGTATGGATAAGTTTATGAAATTTTGTAAAAGTGAGAAATGTATTGGATTTATATTTGAGAGGGCATACCCATAATAATGAGTCAAATTATCAATAAGTACCATATAGTATTTATAGCCAGTTTTTCTTAAGACTAGAGATGTCCAAAGATCACAATGTATAATGTCAAATGGTGCATAAGTAACAGAATGTAAATCATAAAAAGGCAACCGAGTATGTTTAGATAGTTGGCAAGCATTGCATAAAGATGAAGTTGTAGGTTTATTACAAGAAATAGAAAATTTAGAATGAAGTAAATCTAAAACAGGAGCGCACGGGTGACCCAAGCGAGCATGTCCACAATCGTGAGAAGTGGCAAGAAGAGCCGATGAACTGGAAGGTTTTGTGAATGGGTAAAGATCTCTCGTGCTATCATGACGAGAAAGAAGATCTCCAGTCTTGAGTTCCTTAATAGAAAACCCAGATGGGTCAAATTCAACAGAAGCTTGATTATCAATAGTAAACTTACGAATAGATAAAAGGCTTTTAATAATGGAGGGAGTGAACAAGATATTTTTTAAAGCATATGAATGAGAGGGGGAGGGGTAGTGTAAGAAGCATGACCAGACCCATGCATTGGCATACTAGAGCCATTTCCAACAAAAATGTGTTGGATTAGGTGTCTAAGCCCATACTATAATTGGTATGTATTTGAATTGACAGTAACATGGTCCTTTTGGGTTGCCTTCACACGTGCAACTAGACAGGATAATTAATTGAGAAAGAGGAAGAATTTATTATTTGGAATAATAAATTGGAATAAATGATTTATTAATATGTTATGGAAATAATATATTAATTAGAAATCATATTATTAATTAATATTTAATCAAAAACTAATTTGGAATTAATTTTGGAATTAAAAGAATAAATTAAAAGTACAGGGGCTGTTTTGCAATTAATTAATAGTTGTGGTTAGGGCTCTTGGATCACTCTAAGTAGGGTTGGCCAAAATTTCTAAGGGAGGCCCTTAGAATATCGCCCAAGGCCTTTACGTGGTGGATCAATGGGCTGCTTGGGGCCTAAGCTGGAAATTAGGGTTTCCATCTTGAAACCCTAGCTTTGGGGCTAAGCAACCTAACTATTTAAGGAGCATCACCCCTGCATATTTCGACCACTCTATCCTAAGAGAAGAAAACCGAAATTTCAACCTCCTTCTTCCTTCTCATAGTCATCTTCTTGCATTGTGTGTTTGTGAGCCATTAGAGGTGTGGCGCTTGTGACACTAAGTTCTCAAAGTTCAAGATCTACAAGGTTTTAGATTGTTATTACAATATAAAAATCAAGGTATGTATTTTGATCCTTATGATGTAAATTTCGATTATAATACATAGATCCTAGGTTTCTTCTTTTGTGTTCAAGTTTGCATGTTCAATTAGAGAAAACCTAGATCCAAAGCATTAGGGTTGCATGCACACTTAGGAATTGTTGTTATGCTCAAAACCCATCAAAATGATGTTACAGGAGAAGTAGTCATGGGACTAGAAATCTTACCCTGATCAGATGTAAGATGTGTCGAGGCACCGGAGTCCATATACCAAGTAGGATCATTAGAGTTAAGATGGACTTGTTGCATTGTCTGAGCTAAATCCGATGGTCTGTAGTCTGAATAACCAGCAAATTGAGGAGTGGAAGTAGGCGTCGGACCTGATGGTTGCATTGGAGGAGGTCCATTTGGCCCATGTTGAGTTGTGGGTCCAAAAAATGGACTGAACCCGTAGGTGTGGTTAGCCCAATGATTTATCGGTGGATTCGGACCATGAGAAGGGTATGGCGAAGGCGGTGGATTCCATGATTGCGAGCCATTCCAACCTTGTTGTTGCCATTGATTTCCTTGGTTCCAATTTTAGTGGCCACAATCTCCACGTCCCTTGGAACTTCTGTCATGTCCTCCACCACGATTTCCTGTACCTCTGGTCGAGTAGTTGTTGTAGGTTTGACTTTGATTACGTTGATCAACTACAATGTTTTGTGATGATCTTTCAACAGAGGTGGGGGCAACGGGAACTGTATGGGTTTGATTTTGTCTAGCTGCATGTCTGTGTTGTTCCAGTTGTAACATGCTACGAGCCGTTTCAAACGATGGAGAGGTTTAATTGATGTATGCCCCGACGACATCAAATTCTAGCGGTAACCTGTGAACCATCTGCAAAATGAGTCTTGCTTCAGTGACAGGGTTGTTGACTTCTCCTAGTTGGTCTGCTAAGTCTTTTAGCTTCTAATAGTAGGCTTCCATTGACGAAGATGCAGCCAGAGTGAGATTGGAAAATTCTTGTTCGAGGGCTGCATCAAGAGATCCTTTGTTATTAAGAAAGTTAGCTTTGAGTTTATTCCATGCTTCTTGTGCAGTGGTATCGATTTCCATAATTCAAACCATGAGTTCATCAGACAGAGTGTTGTATATCCATTGCAACACAAGTGCATCAATCTCGACCCATTGAAGATAGGTAGGGCTGTGGCCTTTACCTCGCTTGAACCTGTACCATCTTTACCCATGGAGACGACTTCTTGAAGGAGAAAGGCAGGGAGAGCCTGATAAAGCCATAGCTATGTACCGAAGGGTAGCCGTCGGTTCTAGGGTACATGCTCTGATACCATAAAAACGATTATAGAATAATGAATCGATGCCTTCTATTGATTAACAATGCCCTGTATATAGTGAAGAAATACAACGGAATATATCCACATAAAGAGGATATATAATAGGAAATTATACAATCCTTATATATTATAATATCGGCTAATAATTTCTTCCTCCCATATGGTTTTTATTTATTTCCATTTATTGAGGACATCGTGTGATTTCAAAGAGTTATGTCAATTACTTGATAGTTTAGCCACCGATTGTTGGTTCATTTCATTTGATTTCATTACAAATTATAGGGCCGCCTGTGCCAACATCAGAATAAGGACATGTAACATTAAAGCCACTGAATTATATTACGAGTTTTCTCTAGTTAACATTTTTGTGTTCCTTGCATCCATTTATGTGTCAATATAGATAAATGCGTTTGCAAACATATGGTTTTCATTATCACAGGAGTAAACCTCCATCGACACAAAGCAGCAGGCTCGAATGCCCTTTACATTATTCAAGCCTACATATTAATTAAGAAGCACTATAACACTCGATCAACAGCCATAAACTTATGTAGGATTAAAACATATATCTGCAAGTCTCACACTCCACAGTAGGTTCTTATGGCACATTCAAGTTTTCGGTTTTCCTCCTTGTTATAGAAATCAAGGTATTTCAGATGATCAAATGGCTTAAATTGTAACGGGTGCTCTTCGTCCACAAATTCTTCTGGTGTTTCTATGATCCCTTCCAGAAACGAAAACTGGGCTATCGAATATCTACTTGCATTTCCATTCATAGTAACTCGATGATAAGGTGAATACAATCTTTCGTTGCTCCAAGCCTGATCACAAGTTTAAAAATCGTCAGTTATTACAGAATAAATTGCTTTTGAAGGCCGATGTGCAAGATCACTAACCATGGCTGCATCACCCGACATGACTATGTATGAGGTTGGCAAGAGCTCAACTGTGAACCACTCACCATCCCTGGCTTTGACCTCTAAACCATCAACTTGATTTTGATGCAGAACAGTAATGAAATCTTTATCTGTATGAGCAACGAACCCCATATTGGTTTCGTTCTTCTCTGGTCTTCTGTACTTCATGCCCCTACAAAGGTATGTCACCATGTTCCTATGAGCATCCAAGTGCTTCTCCACGCCATAGCTTTCAAACACCATTCTCGTCACCATTTCTTCCAACTTTGCTACCAGCCCGTTGTATGCTAGTAGTGTTGCCCTAACAGTATATTAACGTACACAAGTGTTAATATATATGTAATGAAAGAAAAGAGAGAATCAAGAATAGTGGTTATATACCCAAAAGCTTCGTTTCCATGGGGCCACATGACATCTGTGAAACTACGAACGCCATCAAGGGTGTTGGAGTAATCAAACCCCATGCTTTCGTAGAGTGGAATGAAAGGGATTTGGCCGACATAACCGTACAAGGGCTTTGTGGACTTGTTTTGTACTTTGGTTTCGATTGGGAGATCAAACAAGTCTTGTAATGCTTGGAAGACGGCGTTGTTGAGGTCGAGTGGTACTTGGTCGTATTCTGCTATGAAACATCCGTATTGTTCGAGGGCTCGAGTAGCTTCAACGGAAGTGGTGAGCCATGAGGTTGAACCAGGGTTCAAGTTTCTTTTGTTGGTGAAGTCAATAGTAGGAAGTTTATGCATATTTAATTAATGTTATTGTTCTGATGCTGTGATTGAAGGAAATGTGCATTCTATTTATAATTTATAATCGATTGTGATTGACTTGTCAATAACTAAATTCCAAATTATTGAGTCATTGCTTATTGCATTAATAACAGGGCTCTAGTTATAGTTATCTACCAGAACACCAAAATCATCTCATCTCAGCCATCAATTAATTTAAATCTGAAGCTATTTTGTAATTAATAATAAATTTAAATTCATTTAATTTGACGTAAATATAACATAAAGGTATTAGGGAGGAGGGGGTCGTTCCCTCCCAACCCACCGAACTCACTGTCACATCAATTTTTCTCTTTTATTTTTCTTCATCTTTCCGAAACCACAACACACGGAAATCCTATTTTTTTGAACTCATTTAACCCACTCAATTAAAAAAAATACAAAACAACTAAGGTACAAGTTTTAAAACACATAGTACAAAAGAAAATAAGAAAGAGAAAGTAGAGAGAGATGATGAAGTGGGTTAGTGAAACCAATCAACCCACTGGTTGAAGCGGGAGTGGTACCGCCGATAACTCTATTGCTAATTAAGATTTTACATTTGATTGTTTTGTATTTTTTTTTTAATTGAGTGGGTTGAGTGGGTTCAAAAATATAAGATTTCCGTGTGTTGTGGGTTCGGAAAAATTAAAAAAAAAATAAAAAAGAAAAAATGATGTGACAGTAGGTTCAGTGGGTTGGGAGGGAATGACTCCCTCCTCCATTAGAGTAATTAAACTCATTATCATAATTTCATCAGCCTCTATACCATCTCATCTCTCCCTCTTTAACCTACGACCTATTTATGAAGGCTCGTAGGGGCGTAAAGAAACAAGAACATAATAACCTCAAACGAACCAAACAAGGTTTGGTTTATTTGGTTTCGTTAACCAAATAAAGAGATTCTTTTTTTGGTTTGGGTATTGTTAACTTTTTCTTAATCCAGATTAACCAAATGACCCAAATAAGATATTATAATTTTGTGTATATATTTTAAAACTAAAAATGATTTGGTAAACCTAATGTTCTAAAAAACTCGTCATGCTCCGCCATGGCGCGTCATTACTTCAAGGCTTGTATCTGCCACCAAGTTTTACCTAAATGACACCTTAACTTATATATGTGTATAAAATGAATAATAGTTGAAAATACATATAAAAATATTAATTATATATAAAATTGTCGTCTTAAGTCAGTCCTTACAAACGACGTGGCTCGTCAAAGCTTGGAAAAGTTTAAGGCTTGACATTGCCGCCAAGTTAGGCCTTATTTTATTTAGAACATTGGTTTAACATAACTAAAAAATCCGACTACATTTAATTAGCTCATTTTCCGAAAAATCATAAACATGCACTTATAATTATTTGTTAAACGATTTTATACAAAATAAATATTCATCCTTTTTAGGCTAGTTATTTTATTTTCTTAAAAAAAACAACAATTGGTTTTTAAATTTTATTTAAAAACACTTGTATTTTTCTAGACTTGTAAATTGGTATTTTGTCATCTTTTTTATTTTATAACTATGAAAATGACTTTCTGTTTTCTTTGTCGATAGACATGGGATACCTAGAACTCTTTTCATCAATTTTCCTCTAATTATAAAACCGCTTGAAGTAGACTTAATATTTTATTATATTATATGAAAGTTTTAATTTTGAATGAAATTGGGATGATTTTGAATGAAATCGAGCGGATTTTGAAAGGAATTGGGTTGATTTTGAACCAAATTATCCGATATTTGTATTACCTAAACCTGAACAACCCAAACCCGAATAACACGAAATCCGAATAACACGAACCTTAAACGTTTCAGTTTCGATCAGATACTGCTAGGCCAAAAGCCCTTTGTTATTTTTCAATTGTTTTAGTGTTTGATTGTTAATTTCTTTTTTCTTGTTTTTAAATTAGGAATTTAGGTTTCGAAACAGCTCCTTAGTTGGTGGGTTTGAAATATATCTCAAATATTAACCCCCTAAATGCAAGGGTAGTGTCTCACAGTTTTCTGACCATGGTGATCTTTGTAACGATGGATGAAGTTGATAGGTCGAATGAGAGCTTTTCAAGATACCAACAATGGATGAAGTTGATAGGTCTGATGAGAGCTTTTAAAGATATCAGCATCATCAGTCTTAATCTTTTATAGACGTAGTCTCTTGAATACAAAATTTTTTATCCGATTATAATTATAATTATATAGTATATATTACGACGGAAGAAGATTTTTAATTCATCTATGATTGCAACAATATTAAAATTTTTTGTATGGTTTTTATTCATTTACGATTATAATTGTATTATAGATCTTTATATTTATTTATGATTGCAATTGTATAGTAGAATTTTATCTTAGCATTGTGGTTTATTCATTACGATTACAAGTGTATTCATATATTATTACAAGTGTGTTTTATTCATTTAAGATTGTAGTTGTATTGTATTGTTTATCTATGTATTGTGATTTATTAATTTATACTTACATCTATATTGTTGAAACTAAATTATGTTTTATATCATTTATGAATGAAACTGTATGAATCATCATAGTCATTTGAAAGTTTTAAATAAATATACCTGCAACTTATAAATTCTTCAATATATTTGATATTTAATTTATAAACAAAAATAAAATGAAAATATTTTATTTTTTTAAATCCTAGATAGCTTTCATATTTATAGTTGTATTTTCCTAGTTTGTAAATATAGAAGCCCTATCTGTTTTCTCTTTAGATTGATATTAATATTTAACACGATCACCACACTCCACATTTCTCTCTACTTCTAGGATGTTGATTGAGAATCCAAAGGGAACAAGTAATATGAGATACTAACCTCTAATCTATCTTCTAAATCTAAAAACTCTCGATCTCTATTTTAACATACTAAAACAATAAACGGGTTACATCATTGGAAAATATTCCAATCCCCCAGAATTACACCGATCTCCCAACCTCACCATGATTTGAATCTAAAACAACGAAAATCCAAAGTTCATCTCAATCTCAAATTCTCGATGTTTGGATGAAGAAATCTCGACTAGATCATTCCTTTTTTTACTGTCGAACATCTTATTCAAAATAGCTTTGTGATCTCATGTATACTACATGATTAGAGCTTTCTCTAACCTCCTTCAACTCTCTCTTTGAAAAACACTCATCACCAAAAACGAACGGCACATCTCTATCCTCGAATTCTTTTCTCTCTAGCTCTTTTATGTCTTTCGTCTCCTTTAAAGAGGTTTTCATTGGTAATCGGTTATCTAAACAAAGGAGGCCTATCGGTGTTGGAAGCCTTATCGGATAACTACCATAGAACTTAGAATCTCTCTCCATGCTTTGCATTTCTCACTCTTTTGCTTTTTGGAAACATAAAATAATTCAACGAAAGCCTACATGTAATATTTCAACGTGCACCCCAAGTTCGAGCTCCATATAAGGGTCAAACTCAACCCTCATAGGGATTTTCAGTGAAAAATTCCCCACATGCGGCACTTAGAATCTCCTTTTGCTTTTAAAATATGATCCCCGTCTTACATGAACCATATGAAAAAAAAAACTTTTTTGATTCTTAAATCCAAATTTTAAAATTTTGTTCCTAAACTATCGAATATTGACAATCAAGACCCTTCCCTAACTTATACTTAACTTCTTGTAACATCCGTCTCTCGATGTATCATTTAGATTATGTAAATTAAGATTAGCTTTGGGCTAACACTTGGACAATGGACCTTTAGGGGTGGACCTTAGCAAAATCCAGCGTACGTGGGCAGATGCCAAACCCTAATTTTTAGGGTTTAAGACACATAAATACCCCATTATAGCCTCCCCTCTAGCCTCCTCACCAGTCACTCACCCTCAGAAAACCCTAGTTCGTCTCATACTCCATTGTTGTGTGTGCTTGACCTTTTTTTAGTTCATTTTTATGGAGAAAGGCTTGGAAGAAGTGAAGAGAACTTGGAGGAGAAGCACTTGAGTATCTTGAGCTCAAGGATCTGGAACAAGTTCATCTTTTGGCACCCAAATGATGTATCAAGCTCCTACCTTTCCTCTTAGAAGCTTAGATCTAGGGTTTTGAAGCTTTGGACCTTTTTAGGTCCAAAGAATGGATCTTGTTCATGCAACGTCGTTTTTGAGCTTAGGGTTGCCACCCTTGAAGCTCAAAGTGTCCCTTAAGAAGTAAAGTTGCAAGCTTTGAAGCTTTTATGTAGCCATGCATGAGATCTAGTCATTTCCATGGAAGTTTATTGCTATTTTTAGAGTTGGGACCATTTGGTGGGTTGCAAGCCATCAAGTGATCGACTTTATGGATTAGGATGAAGTATTGGACTCAGATTCTTAGTTTGGACATAGTGTCTTAAGGGATTAAGCAGTTTTATAGAAAATTGCTTAACAGGAGAGTACGTTGGGCGTACACGCCAGTACGCGCAACGTACAAGCCATTCAAGCAGTACGTGCAGCGTACAGAAGGGTACGCTCAGCGTACGCTCAGACAGTGGGCTTTATGTTATTAGGCCTCGGTTTAGGCCAGGCCTTGGATATAGTAGTAGTTGGGCCCAGATGGGCCTTCAGAAGTCCATCAAGAGTCCAAGGACTTGCTCGGGCTTGTGAGGAAAAGCCCATTTGAGAAGTTGGGCCCAATTTAGAAAATTGGGCCATTAGTGGGCCTTAGTGGGCCATGAGTGGATTTATAAGGATTAGTTAGAATTAGGTCTTGGATATGGCCCAAAGTTAGAGCAGGGGTAAAATGGTCATTTTGCCCTTAGTGGGATTCTCAGTTTTTGACTAAGTGTTTATTTGGTCATAATAGCCGGAGTGTAGTTGGAGCAGCAGACAAGGTTACCTAGCACGAGTTTTCAGCAGCCAGATTGAGAGGTGAGTTTCTCTCCAGTAGGAACGGGTCTAAGGCCACAATGTCGGCCCGTTTAAATGTAGTAGTTCCGGACTTCGGTCTAATGTCTGGGCGGTCCCGAGAAGAGTATATGTATGCTTGATGTCTTTGTGATTC